CGGGGGCCAGAAGGAACGCCAATGTGGGGGCAGGCCTTCCCCCCCCCCCCGCCCCACTTCTCCTATCCAGGCTGCCCCCTTTTTCTTCCCTTCAGGCCCAGCAAGAAACAAGCTGTGCTGCATTACACAGCTGCCCGCCTGTTTGAGAAGGGGGTCCTGCTGGAGATTGAGGCCCTCCCGCCAAACCAGTAAGTCCGGACGCCGCCCTGACTCCCCCCTGACTCCTGCTGCCCCTCGTCCCTCCCTCTGGGTGTCCTCTGAGCCTCCCCGTGGGTGGCAGGGAGGCAAAACGCCCGGAATCTCAGCTTTGCTCTCCTGAAGGAGAGGCCGAACTTCTCTTCCTCCTTCTGTGGGAAAAGCAGATCTCTTTTTCTTGCATTTTCTCAGCTTCAGGCCTTTTAATTCCTCCCCCTCTCTCTGGTTCCCCCCCCCACAGACTTAGAAATGTCATTTTCGATATTCTACCTTCCCAAGAAGCTGGCAGGTTCCAGGTCAAGGCAAAGTTTATGGGGGTCGATATGGAAAACTTTCAGCTTAGTTACCAGGTAAGGGTCCGACCGAGAGGAGTTCCCTCCATGCAGTTTGACGATTTAATTATTCACTAGCTTTCCAGTGGTGGGAGGGGGGGCCTGCAGGACCACCGTGCCCCCATCCCTTGCACAAATCACGCCTAGAACCCTCTGGGCCCCGTCAGCAATCGTTAGAAAGCGGAGACATTCTGCTGCGTTCTGTTGTTGGAAGGAACCTGGGAGGTCTTGTAGTCTGACCCCCTGCTCAAGCAGGGGACCCCGTGCCATGCCAGCTTTCTCTCCCCTCTCAGGACCTCCTCCAGCTCCAGTACGAAGGTGTGACTATCATGAAGATGTTTGGCAGAGCCAAAATCAACGTCAACCTTCTGATCTTCCTTCTGAACAAGAAGTTTTTCAAGAAATAATCTGCTTTGAGCAACAACTGGGGATCATTGGGGTCCCTGTTGGAAAGATGCCAAAGAGATGTAGTGGTGCTTGCTTCTTCACTCCAGCCCTGCTTCAAAGAAACCCAGAAGGAACCCCCCCCCTGCCTCAGAGGGACCCTCAGGGCACCTGACTGGACCCCCCTCCACCTGGGCAGCTCCTTGCATGGCCAAAGGCTTCCTTGGCATCTAAACCTCCTGCATGTAGAACACTAAACCAGCATATCAAGGATAGGCAAAGCATTTCACCCACAGTGCAGCCCTCTTCAAAGAGAAACACACTAGATCCAACGCCTGCCTCTCTCAGTTGCTACACTCTGAGAAGGCCAGTGGTCTCCCCCCTGTGTCCCTCCGCCTTTTGGACCCCACGGGTTCCTGGCACTGAACTCCTGGAGGGCACTTTGCTCCCCCACCAATAGGGCAGCTGGCAAGAATCAGGACTGGCAGCTGCCCGTTATTTCGAGAGGAGGGCAGTGGTGTGCGGGTCAGAGAGAGAGAGAGGTGCTTTTTAACACTTGTCGCTGCCAGTGGGAGTTTACACAAAATCAGGTTTCCTCAAACGGAGAGTTTTAGAAATTCAGATTTGTGGATTCCATTTCCGCCCAGTGCTAGTTTGAAACAAAGTTGTTAAAGAGCTCAATCATTTTTATACCAGCGCTTGGAAGGCTATTGAAAACTGAATTCATTGGATCTTCCCTGATAATTTAAGTATTCAATCAAAAGAATAAGACGATAAGATAAAATGTTTACGCAGAGAGTTAATATAATCACACATTTTATTAAGATGTACAATAAACTCTATTATTCAATTTTTAAAATGTGATTATTGAATGTTATCTGCTAGAAATTGCTATGGGTGTAACTGAAGGAGTTCTGTTTTATGTTCTGTACGCCAGGATTCTCATAATTCATACAATTCAGAGTTAAAATGCAGAACTTAAACCTAATAATTGAGAACAGAAAAATCTAATCGAAGAAACCAAATCTAGCGGATAAGGAAAACGTGGGGACTTAAAGAAATGACGGAAATATGAAAAGATCCTCTAAATGATATTCCTGTTGTTGAGAGACAACGGGAATTTTTTTAAAAGGCTTTTGGTAAAAATTACCCGGTCGATTTGGGAAACAGAGGAGACAGGGAGGGAGGGCAAATTATGCCTGTCCCTGTTTCTCTCTTAATTTCCTAGCAATATCAAAAGGCCGCAGCATTAAACAAACCAATTTGTATCTTCAAATACTCCCAAGCTTTGAATGTAAACACTTGTCTCCTACCTGAACCGGGAGGCCCTCACAACAGTCACTCGGGCCCTTGTGACCTCTAGGCTGGAATACTGCAACGTGCTCTA